GAATAAAAGCCCAAAATAGAAAAGTGAAAGAATATAAATGGAAATTATGACATGCCAATAAAAGAAATGACGCATAAGTTTTTATGCTGCATGCAGCTACATTCCCATTAATTACCACACTTCATGATAAATGTATTGAGTGTGCAAAAGAAAGAAATCAGTAACGGGCTAAACAAAAAGATACCTGTGTTCCACCGCCAGTATTAAGCCGACCAACCTCTCCACCACTTGCTGTTATGCGTTCCCTCCTATTCAATTCAACATAAACTATTAAAATGTTATTCAAGAGGCAAACCCATATTAATTAGTTAGTTGAAGTCATAAAAAGCATCTCACTCCTCTTCATTGCACTCTAGTCTATGATCAGCTGATAGATAATAAATTCCCCCTTCAGCAGATTCTAATATACATCGAGAATCGCCAACTGATGCAACTGTTACAACCCATCCTTCAATTATAACGAAGGTGACTGTTGTCCCTGATTTCTGTGCTGCAAGATTACACAAGAAATTATCAGAATAATATATTCAAACTATTACGGGGAAAAAAGTATTGATTTCTCTTAATTAAATTATATAAGAAAAACAAATTGTTTACAAGCAATAGTAAAGAGGTTTACATGATTTTTGTACCATATCTAAAACATGCAGAATAGAATAACGGTAGCTACAAAGTTTCTTGTATCATTTACATTTTCATGGAAACTCTATGATAGGTTTTCATAGCATGCTTAGTCTGTCTTGTTTTCTTCTATATAGAAACAACTAATACCTTTTTCTTGGAATTCTTTGTCTGTCTTGACGAATCCTGCAACCAAAGCCCTAGGCAATGCTGCAACCCACTCATCTCTGTTGAGGTCTGAGGGAATAGCACTCAAGACATTCTGCAAGAGATTCTCTTTAGAATATATAGCAGCTGCCGACCCATTGTGCCCATCAAATAACTACAAAAGGAATGAAATACAAATTACATGTGCGCAATTGTATAAAAACAAAAAAGGGAAGTGCGGCTACTGATGTTCAACAATTTGCCGAGAAAGAATTTTTGGTCAAACATGCAAAATTTTCAGGTGAAACCATAACAAAAAAAATGCTTCATTCACAAGAATTAGTGGATTCCTGGCCAACAATCTTAAAAGAAAAAATAAAGGGCTTCTCCAACTTGAGATAACTATTGATTCTACGCGGAAAACATGTCAAAGTAAGATCAAGGCAAAAATGTCCAAAGTTGGCACCATGATCATCTTTCTCAGCCATAGGATACTACAGAACTTATCAGATTCAGCAAGAAATCTATGATTTGATATGACAAATTCTTATCCAAAAAGAAGGATAAGAAGGAATATAGCATTAGCATACAAAAGATATCATGAGCATATAGAAGACACTGTGATGTCCACAATCTAGCGGTGGAGCCAAGAATTTGAATAAGGGGATTCAAAAAAATGTAAGAATGTCATGCCTAAGATTTGAACCTATGTCAAAGGGGATTCAACCACTTATATATGTGCAGAAAAACATTTATTTTTACTCTTTTTGTACAGTGTAATTTTCTGACTTAGGGATTCAATTGAACCCCTTCACTAAAGGTAGCTACGATCCAATATGATAATTTATTATGCAAAGGCATCGATAAAGGACACATTTCTTAAAAACATAAAAGATAGAAACATCAAATCCTACCCCAAAAACAGAAAAGGTAGTAACTCCATCTCCCAAAACCCGCTGGCATTCGGTCTTGAGGAAGGTGAAGTCTTCCCCTTTCTTGCTCTGACTAGCTTGACCGTGACAAATCTCGGGCATTTCAATCTTCTCATTGGCCAATTCCCTTTTCAGCAATACAGACAATGGGACCGTTTGATGTTCACCCTTGGACAACATTGTTCGGTCCCCTTCCAAATCGGATAGAAAAAATTACCTCCTTATTAATTCCAAAAAACAAAATATAGCTTCCCAAATTTACATTTACTCCTCCATTGTCCGTTAATCCATTTCCTATACAAAACAACCAATAACCACCTAAATCAAATAAACGATCCAATGAAAAGAACCACTAAGTACCCAAATTAATCAATCAATCAATCTAACCTCTTATTTTAAATCCTCCTTCAAAACGTCCATTTACCGTTGCCTTTGGCTTTATTTCTGTATGAGTTGTTTTCTGCAAAAAAAATTTAGAAAAAAAAGGGGAGGAAGACGAAGGAGATAGAAAAATGGAGGATTTTTTGTTTTTATTTATTAGTATAAAATGTTGGTTTTTGTGACATTATAGGCATGTGCGGACATGTCCGAAACGCACCATTCGTTTTGGTTCGGCGTTTAACTAAAACTTAAATGCTGTGAGAATATGTTGAGCTGTTTATTACCTTGTCCTGCGATATCCCATCTAACTTGCGCTTCTTGGCGCCTTCTCATTTACTTTATCATAGAAAATAATAATCTATATTACATATATTATTTTATTTTATTATTATAACAGCACGAATAATTTATGTTAAATGTTGAACAACTAAAATATTCTTAAAACATTGATGGACTTTTATACCCTTTACTAATTAAATATCTCTAATTCATTGGTGTACAGAAATATAAAAGTATTTCATTAATTGTAGAGTACATATCGAAATCTAGAATCCAAGTTCAAGTTAAAAACACTATATTTGTCAACGTCTGGAATCCAAGTACAAGTCCAAATCGTTATATTGATATCTTAAGAAAAGAAATCGATAAAGTTTAGGGCTTAGATGAAAGTCAAGCTCTTATCAAGTATTAATTATATCGCAATCTCAGACGTATCCCGTGCGAAATTTACAGTACACCTGGTAAGATTTGAAGTTATAATGTTCAAAGATTTGAAGATCTATTTTGCTTTTTGCTGTATTTTTCCTCTCTACGTGCACATAGTTCAAATTATAGGAGTTTAGCGGGCGGGCTGGGACGGGNTATTTAAGTATTTGCAAACTTTTAAGGCTTAGAATTAAAGTTTAGAATTAAACTTTGAAGTTTAAACTTTAAGGTTTTAAATTTGAAATTTGAATTTTAAAATTGAATTTTAAATTGAAATTAGAAAGTAAGTGGCTACAAAAAATTATTTAATAAGACCAATACGCAATATGTAAGGATTAAACTCCGAAGGCTTTCATTTTATATTTTTATTGAATAATATATAATACTTCAAATTAATTTGCAAGTTCTTTTCTGATTTTTTTATTTTTGAACTTGCAAATTAAAAGTTTACAACAATTATAAAAAATAAGAAATAGTACATCACATGCTTTGCATCATTTTTGTAAGTTCTTCTATGTCAACATGAGGTTCTTGGTTTCCGGCATTGGTTGAATCGGAACCATAAACCATTATATCTCCAATTTCTTGGTCCTCCGCTTCGTCTACCTCGGCACGCCCTTGATTTCGCCATTCTGATCTTATCTAATCTCTAAAGCACACTAGAATTTCCAAAGCTTTGTTGTCCAATGAATGACAAGTATCTCCTAGTTACTGCCTTGCTTGGCTAAATGCGCTCTCTAACGCGACTATTGAAATCGGCACATTTAGAGCCATGGCCGAAAGAACAAGAAATTGATTTGAGTTGTTCATCCACCACCCCCAGCGGTAGAAAATCCTTTGTGAGGTGCTCTTGTTGCCTTTTGCAAGTAGAATTGGAGTTCATCAGGTTTGTTGATGCCCTCCTAGTGTAGACCAAATCAAATAATCTTGAACACCATCATCATCATCCAAAGTTGTTCCAAATGTTGAAGTATTACTTGAAGGAATATTTGCATCTACAACCGAAGAAGCATCAACAATGTTACATAATAATTATATAAAGTTTATAAATGTTTGTGTAGATCAAAAATACAAGTGTCAATATCAAGAGTTTCAGTTGGTCCAATATCCATATAAATATATAAAGCACTGATTAATTAGCGACACTTTATCATTTTGATAGTAGGGTTTACAATAGCACCAATTAGGTAAATATAGGGAATTGTGTAGAAATATTTTTAAAACTTATCTAGCATAGATTCAACAACAGAAGTATATCCTTCTTTCTTCTTCAAATTATGTAGTAAAAGAGAAATTTCAGCAATATGAACTAAACCATTTACAATAATAGGATAATAAGCTCCAGAAAACTCAAGTGTAGCCACATAAAATTTTTGTAAAAATTGTACAACATCTTCAATGACATCCCAAGTTCTAGATGTTAACAAACGGCTAGGATCGAAACAATAAGAATTAACAACTTCAGTTATAGGCATTCTATATTTATAACAACATCATAAGAATAAGTAAATATAATTCCACCTAATAACTATTTCTTCAGGCATGAGTCTTGGTTTTAGTCCACAGTGTATACATTTTTCGTTAAATGCATTTAATCTAGCACTTCTATTATTTCCTTGAATTACACCAACAACTCTCCTAACTAAAGTGATTTCATCTCTAAATAATTTAAGACCACTCTTCACAATCAAGTTATAAATATGACATGCACATCTAATATGAAATATTTCAGAAAGTGGTGAGTGTAGATGCAATTTTAATATTGTAATTCTTTCCGATATTTCTTAATATCGTATTTACCCATTAACCCCCAGTACTCGGGTTAAGTTTTTGTTGCTCATCTTCTTCATCTACTCCCCAATCAAGAGGGTGGAGCTCTACCATATGCCTACGAAGCTGACCCGTTCCCCCTCCCTTACCTGGCTCATGTTTGTAAACTTCATTACAAATTCTACATTTTACATAATTTTTTTGTTCTTCTAGTCTGTAAAAAAATTCCAACACTTACTTCTTAATCTTCGATTCTTCTTAATAGGGAGGGGAAGCTTACTTGTCTCACCCCTAATATTTTGAGTTTGACTAGCATTACCATGTGTAGTTGGTGGTATTTCAAGATTATCGGGTGATTGAATATCATCTAAATCATCATCTACACCATAATTTTCTTGCATTCGCTCATAATCTACATTTAAATTTTTAGGTGAACTTTCAGAAATATGTGTAAAGCTACTAAAAGAACCAACACCACCTCTTGATCTTTTAGAAGTTTTCTTACTACCACTTCTACTAGTGCACGCTTTTTTGGCTGCTCTAAGTAAATCCATTATGTAAATAAATTAATAATTCTAAATAATAAAATAAGTGTACACCAAAGAAGAGAAAGAGATGGAACGAGTGTATCGGGATTCCGGATGCCGCACTAATTTTGATATAAAAAATCAAACTTTAATTGATAGACCGATACTTGTAGTTGATAGTACTTGATACCACACTTCACTTGAATACTTGATATTTGATAATAATAATTTTGTAATGGCTAAACTAAATATTTGATGAAACTTGAAATAATAAGTAATTGAGAATTTAAGAACAATAACCAATAATATCAAGAGAGAATTAGAGTAGTAAGATAGTGAATTGTGAGAAAAAAATGAAGAAGAAATTGGGCTATTTATAGTTTTTAAAATTGTAATTTTTCAATTATTAGGGGTGGGAGGGCTACTTTTTTTAATGGGGGAGGCCGAAATGGTCATTTGTGCAAAATCTGGCCGTTGCCATTTCTGAATTAGATTGGTGGCAACGGTCCACAAAATTAAAAAAAAATTGTAACGAATATCGGGCTGAATCGGGCTGCAGCCCGTTAACGGGTTAGCGGGTTCTGGTGCTCCGGTATCCAAAATTTGTTCATCTAAAACTCACCCCAACCCATCCCAGCCCGCCCCAGTATGCTACAGTAACGGGCTAAACCAGGCTGACCCAGGCCGAAGTGGGTTGAAAGCGAGTCAGCCCGGCCCGATTAACAGGTTTAGTTCAAATTATGGTGATATTCAATTTTTTTCTAGGTGCAACATTTGGTTCCGGATTTTGAACTATTACCTATTTTCTCGCTTGGTATTTTTTTAGCATACGCTGCTCTAAAAAATTCTGCAAACTTGTACTACCTCTTCACATTTATCATGCATCTTAAAAGTTAAATATCATTTGTAAAAGTATTATACTAAAAGTACTTCTAAGTTCTAATTCCTTTTTAATTATGTTTATTATCAATCTTAAGATGTCTAGAGAATTGAAGAAATTGATGAAAGATACCTCGATTTTAGTTGATTCTCCACATATATTTGAATTCTGTTAAAGTTTCGAAGTTATTCTTTTTAATTTTTGTTACTTTCCATATTTTGAAAATATTAGGAATGTTAGGAAATTTTTTTTTGGATCTTTTATATTTTTTATTTATTTATTTTGTTTACATCAGGATTCATTAGGAAGTATATATTTCCAAGTGTTTCTTTGGTTTAAGCTTTGTACTTGTTTACCTCGAAAATGCGAGTAACAATTAAACTTGATTTCACACCATCCGTCGTTGGAAATTTCATCATCTAATGAAGGGTTGAAGGTACTGCTGTTATGTTGTAGATCCATGGCCTCTCGAGAAGTGCATCATACCTCATGTTGCCTTCGATGACATGGAATTTTGTATCTTGGATGGTCCCGACCACATTTATTGGTAGGATTATCTCCGCCTTCGTTGTTCCGCTTGTCATGTTGAAGCCATTTAGGACTCGGGATGCAGGTACAATTTGTTCTAGTAGGCCAAGCTGCTCTACGACCCTCGATCTGATTATGTTTGCTGAGCTACCTGGATCCACTAGAACACGTTTAACTTGAATTTTATTTAACAAAATAGAAATTACTAGGGCGTCATTGTGCGCTGAGATATGCCTTCTGCTTCCTCGTCATTGAATGATAGGACGTCCTCGGGCATAAAGCTCCGAGTCCCTTTTTCTCTGGTGATCGATGCCTTGGTGCATTTGAATATAGGCCCTTGTGGTCGACACCTCCAACGATCATATGGATTACATGTTGCGGTTCTTCCTGCTCATTTTTTCTGTTTGCATCTCTTTTCCTAAAGTGGTTCTTAGCTCGATCACTGAGAAATTCTCGAAGATGACCCTCGTTGAAAAACCGAGCTACCTCCTCCCTTAGTTGTCTGCAGTCTTCGATTCTATGGCCATGGGTGCCGTGATACTTACACATCAAGTTTGGATTCCTTTTGAGAGGCATCGGTTTGTATAAATCTGGGTCATCTGGTGTCTTTGATTCTTCCGATAGCTGACACGATCCCTGATGCATCTACACTGAAATTATACTCTGACAATTGAGGTGTTTCCACGTGGTCTGTATGTTTATCAAAACTATTCTTACTTATGAGTCCCCGAGAGCTTTGACCTTAATCATTTGTCCGATCATTCCGAGGAGCGTTACGCCCCGAACCGTTGTTTCTCCGATCTGCATACAGCTGATACCGTTCCTTGTTTGATCTTGATTCCCTGTCTATATCCCTCCAGGGCTTAACTGCCGCTCTATTAGGATGAACTGAACCCGAGGGGGCTCCCAACTGATCGTCCTTGACCCTGATCTTCGATTGATAACGGTTATGTACGTCTGACCACGTCACAGCTGGATACTCGATCAGATTCTGCTTTAATTGTCGAGATGCGACCGAGCTCTGCTCGTTCAAACCCTGCATAAAATCATGTACTGCCCAGTCATCCGAGACCAGTGGTAATTCCATCCACTCCATTTGAAACCCTGATACGAACTCCCTTAATAGCTTATTGTTCCTCTGTCTTATCTTGAAAACATCTGATTTCCTTGTTGCCACCTTTATGGTCGCAGTGTGTGCTTTCACGAAGGCGTCTACTAATATAACAAATAAATCAATAGAGTTCGGGCGTAGTTTATGATACCAAATCATGGCTCCATTAGACAAAGTTTTCCCAAATTATTTCAACAATACTGATTCGATCTCATCATCATTCAAGTCGTTTCCTTTAATCCCGCAAGTATACTAGGTAATATGTTCATTAAGGTCAGTTGTCCCATTGTATTTAGGTATATCTGACATGCAAAACTTTTTAGGAATGGGCATCGGAGCCTCACTCAGAGGGAACGACTTTTGTATGAACTTTTTGGCATTCAAACCTTTCAAGACTGGGGGTGCCCCCGGTATTTGATCAATACGGGAGTTATAAATCTCCACTTTTTGTCATTATCCTCAATTTTCTTTTCCTCGGACTCGATTCTCTTGGTGAGTTCCTCGAGCATCCTCATAATTGTGGGGCCAGTCCCCAATCCATTACAATTGATCTCTCAGGCACCGACTCAGCACATCGCGTGTTTTCTGGTTAGACCATACTTGGAGCTTTATTCTGACTTTGAAGTTGAGCGATGACGATCTGTTGAGCTTGTAGCATCTCGAATATCACGTGAAAGCTGATGCCCCCGTCTCCTATAACCTGTGTTCCTTGGCCACCAGATCTGACTTACCTGCATACACTCGCTCCGGGGTCTGCGCCTAGATCCGCATTCAAAGCAATGTGTGAACTAAAATCAACTGGTTCCAAATTTGGCACTCCCCCAGGGCTTACCGATGGTACATCGACCCCTATATTGTTGTTTTCCCTATGAAATCCAAGACCATCGTTGTCGTATACAGGTGCGTTTTGTGAGTTTGACATGTTTTAGCCTCAGAATCAAAAATTCTTGACAAGAACAAGCGTAAAAATAACGTGTGTTATGAAAATCAGTACTGAAATAATCACTATTATCTTTAGCCCCGTGGTGGGCACCAAACTGTTTACCTCGAAAATACGAGTAACAATTAAACTTGATTAAGAACAGCGAAATAAGAAAAATCAAGTAAAAGGACAATTCTGATAAAATATGAACCAGAAAGTAAGAGGGTATATTCTTTTCTAATGATTGATCCTCGTTACAAATGATTGGGGTCTCCTTTATATAATAGCGGAACTCTAAATAAGGTACATTTCTATTTACAGTAAAGAATCTTATTGGGACAGCTGTCTAACCGCCTAATACGGATTCGTACAAATCTATTCCGGGATTTACGCGATGATCTTGGGGACGTGGCAGGAATCTTGCTCATTCTGTTACAAATCCATAACGGTATTATCTCGAGGCCAGTCATATTAGACTCCGACGTTCCTCGAACACTTGATTCTTCGAGCCTTGTACTCTATCATCGAGCTCGAGCCTGATCCATCGAGCTCGAACTTGATCTATCCTGAATTCGGGTTTAAGGCGACTCCTCGAGCCCAAAAAATCGAGCATACCTGATTTCGACCGTGTACAGTACTGCTTCAAGAAGAAGATAACAAAATTAAGGTATTATTAGTGTTCTGTTATTTCCTCCATTTGAAATTAAATTGTTTTCTTTTGGGGTCGTATTTAACGAACAAACATTAAACAAGAAAATCAACATTTCTTGGTTTAGTTTATTTCTTTTTATTATTTTATTTAACTATATTATTTTTCTTGAGAGGCACCTCTTTAATGTTAAAAAAAAGTTAAACATAATTCTTTGGGTTGTAAGTGCTCCATGTAATTTGGATTTTGTAAAAATAGTCTCTCCGCCCTTCCAGGGGTAGGGGTAAGGCTACATACATGTTACCATTCCCAGACTCCACTAAGGGAAACTACTGGATTTGTTGTTGTTGTTGGATTTTGTAAAATCTAGATATTTGATAATCTTGAGAGTCGAGGAATAATATAACTATTGAATCATAATTTGGCAAATCTTTTTTATCTTCTTATTTTTAGTTTTGGAATTTGCATGCAGCAGCTGTAGCCATGATTCGGTGATAGTGGTTCTGTTCTTAGGTAATACTATAGCAAGTCAGAGACTCAGAAGTGTTAAGTCCACTCTCATTCATTTACCCTTTTTGCAGCGATGAATTAGTTTAAGATCTATGTCGCAACCCATATTTCCCTCTTTAAGATGTCATGACGGCATTTAGTCTCTAAGACTAGGTAAGTCTAACAAACATGCGGAATGACTGGAATAATAACTTAAAATCTCAAAGCATCAACTACATAAATGAAACTACAACTTAATGTATATACAATTCCCAGAACCCGGTAAAATATAAGTTACAAGCTCTAAATATAATATTGCACAATCTTATACATCACTCTCTATCAAGAAACATAACCTAAAAATGCTTCATTCACAAGAATTAGTGGATTCCTGGCCAACAATCTTAAAAGGAAAAATAAAGGACTTCTCCCACTTGAGATAACTATTGATTCTACGCGGAAAACATGTCAAAGTAAGATCAAGGCAAAAATGTCCAAAGTTGGCACCATGATCATCTTTCTCAGCCATAGGATACTACAGAACTTATCAGATTCAGCAAGAAATCTATGATTTGATATGACAAATTCTTATCCAAAAAGAAGGATAAGAAGGAATATAGCATTAGCATACAAAAGATATCATGAGCATATAGAAGACACTGTGATGTCCACAATCTAGTGATGGAGCTTGGAATTTGAATAAGGGAATTCAAAAAAATGTAAGAATGTCAGGCCTAAGATTTGAACCTATGTCAAAGGGGATTCAACGACTTATATATGTGCAGAAAAATATTTATTTTTACTCTTTTTGTACAGTGTAATTTTCTGACTAAGGGGATTCAATCGAACCCTAAAGGTAGCTACGATCCAATATGATAATTTATTATGCAAAGGCATCGATAAAGGACACATTTCTTAAAAACATAAAAGATAGAAACATCAAATCCTACCCCAAAAACAGAAAAGGTAGTAACTCCATCTCCCAAAACCCGCTGGCATTCGGTCTTGAGGAAGGTGAAGTCTTCTTCCCCTTTCTTGCTCTGACTAGCTTGACCGTGACAAATCTCGGGCATTTCAATCTTCTCATTGGCTAATTCCCTTTTCAGCAATACAGACAATGGGACCGTTTGATGTTCACCCTTGGACAACCTTGTTCGGTTCCCTTTCCAAATCGGATAGAAAAAATTACCTCCTTATTAATTCCAAAAAACAAAATATAGCTTCCCAAATTTACATTTACTCCTCCATTGTCCGTTAATCCATCTCCTATGCAAAACAAACAATAACCACCTAAATCAAATAAACGATCCAATGAAAAGAACCACTAAGTACCCAAATCAATCAATCAATCAATCAATCAATCTAACCTCTTATTTTAAATCCTCCTTCAAAACGTCCATTTACCGTTGCCTTTGGCTTTATTTCTGTATGAGTTGTTTTCAGCAATTTTTTTTTTTAAAAAAAAAAAAAAAAAAAAAAAGGAGGAAGACGAAGGAGATAGAAAAATGGAGGATTTTTTGTTTTTATTTATTAGTATAAACTAGATGAGTGTTGCCCGTGCATAGCACATGCCCAACAATTTAAATTATAATCGCGTATTTGCCAATGATTACAACTCCAAATAGCAATAAATAGTTAAGGATAACCATATTTCACAAACACAGAAGAACAGTTTCGTCTATGGTCAATAGTGACAGAAACATAAAGCTATATATTACCTCCCGAGGGGCCGGCCAACGTGTGTAAAACTGGGCAAATATTTTTATTTTGCTGTACTTTTGTATTAATTATTAACAAAATTAAACCTAAGTATATGACTAATTTCTCATCTCCTACCATTATTCTATACCACATGATCAATAAGATGTATCATGTTTATGAGTGCTTACACCATATACGAATAACAGAAATCACATAGCCCATTAAAAGCCATAAACAATATTACAAATATTTGTGCATTACTGGAAGCCCGAAAACATCACTATTTTGTATTTGTCCTGGACTATATCAAAAGAGCTTCTTGCTCCTGTTCCTAAAAGAGAATGAGATATTAAACATTTTTTGTACAGAAAGTACTAATTAATACAAGTCCAGCACCAAGAATTTGAAAAACACAATGATATAAAGATAAGCTAGAGAGAGAGAGGGGAAGGGAGAGAGACCCCAGGGAGAACAAACTACTCTAGAGCTATACCCAAGTGTCAAGTTACACTCATTTAGAGAAGATCGAACAACGTCATTAAAGGCGAAAATGTTATTACTATAATCTAAGGATGCATCATCAATCTAATTTTTTCTTAAAAGAGTGTGGGATCCCTGTATCCTTAAGATTAAACCGGCCAATAATAAAAAAAAATATAGAAGAGCTAATTCTTATTTTTTTTTGATAAGCTAAACTCTGACAACTATATGAATATGCCAAAATTTAATGCAAATAATCTCCAAAAAAATGGGACGATACATTTCAGTTACCCTCAAATAAAAGAAAGAAATAAGCCCAATCATATGAGTATGAAATGACTAAAAGGTCCATTAGTTATAGAGAACATACATAGTTATGAAGTAGATACATTGATAGAATTTCTATCACCACTATAAATATAAAATATGGACTTATACTGAAATATTCTTATATCATCTCAACATTATCTACTGTAGGTGCTGGTAAATAAACTTTCCTTTAATTACTTATCACAAAAAGGAGGGCAAAATAAGAACAAAAGATCCTACTTTTTTCCACTTCATAACACTACAAGTACCAAACTGAAGTTTCATAAACCAGATATTCAAAGAAACCAAATAGTTATTTGTTCAGAGTACAAATTCTTCAAGACACTATTGTCACATAGCACATTCCTTAAATCTAGATATGTTCAGGGAGTTGTTATTGCTCATACTAATATACATACCTCACTGATCGGATTCCTTTAAACTTCTCTTTGGTGAATAATCAGTCCATACCAAAAGTCAAATAATGAAAAACGATTTAGATTTCAACTAATATTGGATAAAATCTAATCAAACAAAAAATGTTCTTCATGATATAGCCAGCTTAAAATGGTGCTTAATCTTGAAACTTTGATTAGAAGTTAATCAATATAAAATTTGAATGCTTGATAAACCAAGTAACATTAATGACTATTCTGTGTTATTATGTCTACAAGAGCACCATATGTATGAAATGCACCGGTTTAGCTGTGTTTTTTCTTTCTCAAATTTTTAATTTGTTCTTGTTATCAATTTGCAATACTTTTTTCCTGATAAGTGCATCAATTTGTAACACATTAATTCAATTTACTATTATTTATGAACAAAGAAAAGAACACAGTTAAACCATGTCAAAGTTATCAAATACATTCCACAATAATCGTGCTAAACCATCCTTTTTTGTTTGTCCTCGATCTTAGTATATAAACTTGAAGAACAAAATATGTCATGACAATAGTACAATATGCTATAGAGTTATTGTGTTGTAGTCACAAATAAAGCTTAATAGCAAAGAATAGTACGATTTTATGAAGTACTTAATTCGAAAGTGTAAATAGTATATGGTAGTGTATAAGAAATTACGCAATCTATGTAGCAAATAAAAATAGCAGCAGGTTAATTATAAGCAATATCAACGGCTTTTCTAGTGTATTTCGGGAGCGAATAAAGTTAAAATCCTAACTGCTTATTTCAATAAACTGCATGCATAGATTTAGGCCTTACCATCATAAAGATAAACATAAATAAGTAGAAAATAAATATTGAGGGATCGCAGAAAGTATATATATATATATACTATATTCGATATAATATTAGCTATGCACTAATACTTAGTGCATAGTATAGTATAGTATATATATACTAAGTGTATTATATATTAC